ACTCTTCTTCGTGTCTCACATCCTCTTTACATGGATACCTGAAGCTCTATGCAGACACTGGAGAGTCATATGCAGGCACTAATAAACGTGACGGAGAAGTTCACTTGACGACATTAAGATGAAATTCGTTTGGATAAATGGCAGGAGAGTGAATCTCATTCGCGTCATAATGCAAGTTATATAATTTTGGAAACTTGGATAATGAATCAAAGATTACCTTCGTGGAACCTCCATGAAACTTACAAATACTTGGGTTTCAACAGTCACTTCGAATTGCAAACACACTGTTATTAAGAATATATCGAACAAATGGAAGTGTGTAACGATTGTGGGCTCTTAAAACTCAACTCTCGCTAGAAATTTGTGCAGGCATCAATTCATTTGTTATTCCCAGTGCTGACATACTCCTTTGGCGTTATTAAATGAGCAATACCACTCGCAACCCTCAGAGAACAATTTCGAACCGCTATGATCAACAGCCTGAAAACATCATCCCCATTCAAGTACTGAGCTTTTACCTTTCCAAATGGGTCGCAAGGAGGGCGAGGTATTGTAGATCTCATAAATCTACACAGCTCTCAAATTGCTTTCCTCAGAGTACTTCTTGGAACATTGTGGGGTGAAGTTCAGCAAGCGTGAGCGCAGTTGTTAACTATAGTCTCTGAACTTGGAAAAAGCTTGATCCCCTGTTCAACCAAATCATTGAAACGGAAGAGAAGATAACCCTATGGAAAGCAAAGGCACTGCATGGAAGGTCCCTCACGAGCTGAGTAAACCAGAAGTCGACTATCTCTGCGTCGCACGCATGGCTCAGACTGGGGGATCTCTTTCTCGGGACAGAGCCTTCAGCATAGCTATCCAGACCAGTGGTACACATTTGAACTACAGAAAACACATTCTGAGAGATTTTACATTCATTCGACATCGCGTAGAAGATGTGAGGCTGCAGCGAAAACTATCCAACACCGTGACAATGGATGTGCAGCCACGCACAGGTGGAATACCAAAAAGAGGCATGATGAAGTGCGAAGCACGGTAAACCAATTTATTGGCGTTGGAGAACGGGCTTACTCGCCACTTCCGTGCCTATTATAAATATTGCCTCAGAATGGTGCTTGAAAGTATTGAGCCACACCTCTACTGGATCGTTCCATTATCACTGACAGACATGTCAGGGCAATAGACCGATATAACGTCATTGAAGGAAACCAACACAGGTTTTCCTCTATGATTATCAATACGTAATGCCCCAACAATATCCGGGAAAATATCAAGAGAAAGATCAGAAGGTATACCAATCTCGCCTATGAGTCGCAACTCAGTGGAACTTCAGTAAAGCTGACGAACTCGTGCGTATAATAATCATCAGCTACGGGAGTGATCCGAGAAATGACACTTCGGGTCACTGAGAGTTATCATTGGATACCAGGATGTATTAATAATGCAAAACAGAACAGTAATTTTCAATACATGCTGTATTGTTGCAGAAGCATCTGAACCTTCAGTAGAAGCAAACCACACACCTGGTCCTCATACCTGTGTGTGTTGGACATACCGACCAGTACGATACTGTTGGAATAATGTAAGACAACAACAACAACAACAATAATAATAATAATAATTAATAATAATAATAATAATAATAATAATAATAATAATAATACATATCAATTTGTTAGCAACTACATAAGACATTTAACAGTTTAGTACATATAGTATTTAAAACATGAAATGGTAAGGAGAGAGGCAGGTTTTGGACTGAGCTTTTTTCTTTTTTCTTCTTTCAATTTGTACATGTAGCCCTGCTGCAGCATCTAATGCATCTAGCGAATCCAGAGAGAAACAGAATTTTTTGTTTTTGTAAGGCATTCTCCTTCAACGTCACAGGATGTGATATGCCAGTTCTTTTTTCTTTGCTTCAGCTCAAAACATTCAACATGAAACAAAGTCTAATGGGATAATAAATTCTTATTCATTTATATTTTTTAAGGGAAATATCGTTGTGATTTGAATATTCCTTTACACTGTAGAACATGTTAAGCAGGAAAGCTTTTAATTTACTTTTAAATGTATGAATTGTGTTTATGTCATTAATATCATTGCCTAGTTTGTAGTAAAGTGTAATGCCCTCTACTAGGGTACTTTTTGATAAAGTGTATTTTCAGTGTGGGGAACATGTAGGTAATCCTTTTGACAAGTGTTGTAGTTGTGTACATCGGAATTTAAAGTAAAAATGTCTTTGTTTCCCATGATAATTTTTTTGTGAGGTCCACTATTTCAAATATATACGTGCATGGTAGAGGAAAAATCCTCAGTCAATTGAACAAGGTTTTGCAAGACTCCAGCTTATGAGTGCTGGTATTGTTCGCAACATTCTTTTCTGAATAATAAATGTGCCAGTGCTTTCAGGGGCATTTCCCCAGAATATTATTCCATATTTTAGGTGTGAGTGCACATTTGCAAAATACATTGTTCGAAGTGTTTCAATGTTGGAACTTGATCTGAGGGTGTATAGGGCAAAGCAAGATTTGGTGAGCTTCTTGTTAAGATTTGAGATGTGAGCATTCCATTCCATTGAATTGTTAAACAGAAGAAGGTAGTTTCATGAGATATCGTTACAGGGTTGTTGTTTATGAGCAAATGCTGTGAGAGTTTTTCTTTAGATCAGGGACTCATGAAATTTAAGAGACTGTTTTGCTAGTATTTATGATGAGTTTGTTGTCTTGAAACCATTTTAAGAACATATTTTGTTAAAGGCAGAAATCTCTATTTTCAATTTCAAAGTTTTGAAATGTGAAAAGTTCGTAACTTTCGAAAATACAGATCTTTTCGGATATGAGAATAGCGCTATTTTTTACCATTCTTTTGGTACATACAAGAGAAAAATTTTAAGCCGTTTTAGAAAAAAAATAGTTTAAAAACAATTAAAATGTCTTTAATATCATGCAAAATTACATTAAAATACTCATTTTTGAAAAATCATACATAATCTTATTTCAAGATTTGTCTTTAAACAACAGATTTCTACAGGAAAAAATCTATTTTCAATATTGTAGTTGTAGGAAGATGCTGAAGAAAACACTTTTACAATTTTCGAAATATCAAGGAAATTAACAAAAATTTGACCAGCACTATTCTCTCGAGTGTCATTTATGGTGTCAGAAGGCAATTTTTAATCACATTTTAAGACATTTGTCAAAATATTTTGAAAATGATGTTGTACCTTCATGTTAAGTACACCTAAAATAAAAATATTCTTTTCAAACTCAAGTGGTCTTAAGGTCATTTAAATTTATCAGGGATTATCAATTTCGAACAAAATCAGCTCAAAGTGTAAGCGCTAGCTTTCACCACAGATGGACAAACAGACGTGTTCACGTCAATCAATTTTTTTATATAAAAAAATTGTTCTTCTTACAAAGTGTGAGAACAGAGGAGTATATATATGGGGTAATAAGAGGTAAAAGAGGTTACCTGTGCATATGTTTGGAATAAATTTTCCTAATTAAAACTTACAAAAGTTGAAAAACATTGTTTTAAGTTCTTTTAATTTAAAAAAGCTTTCAAATCTTCAACAGACAATATATCTGTATCTTAGAAATTCAGCAACAAAATGTGCTAACATTTTATCAACCAATTATGTTTGAATATTTTTCCCAAAACCCAATGTTGTAGCATAGCAAAAATTTCTTACTAAGGGAAGCTGTAGGTAATAAAGTTATGTGAGTACGTGGACAGTTTCATAAGTTTATAGATAATTTTTTTGTTGACAGGTACAAGTAATTGACTTTAATTAAGTTGTAAACTTCAAGCACTTAAGTGATGCAAACGGATAAGAAATCGCTTCGAGAAGCTCTCCCCTGACCATCTCTGACCCCGCTTTTCTTCTGTATTAGAGACATTTCTTTCAAGTATTATAGCTCAACAGGCTTCTCTCTGCACCTACATCTGCTCGAGTGTTATATTTCATAGCTTGTACCTGCCAATGCCTTGTCAGTTACGATATGGGGATTCACTTTGCCTTCCCTCTGGAATTGTTTTCAATATCAAAATATCTTGAAATATCCTTTTGACCCTACACTCTAAATAATATTTTTACAGACTATACTATGTTTAAAAATTAATCACTTAGTGAATACACAACATCAAAAAATACAGAGCATTAGGTAATAACATACATTCAAACTATATTGCATGCCTGCTGGCAATTCAAACTGCTGGAATTGTACCACTCATGCTGCAATTCACATTACACTCTATTATCTAAGTTTTTAAACCGAAAATAGCTTTAAGCCCCCCAGAGAATATCAACCTTCGAAATGTAGTTCAGGGAAAGTGACAGAACAACTTGGAAAGAAAGAGCAACAAAAATAAAATATTCTTATGGTTTCCAAATGTTAATAATGTACTTTCAATTTGAAAGGGAAGTGGCACTTCCAACACATCCAAGGATGCTGACAATGTTTTTAAATTTATTATGTTTATAAATTTACAATTTAAGTCAACTAAGATTTTAATCTTACTAAGAAGATTAGGAATTAATAATTGATTTTATATAACTAATTTTCCCCCTACTGCTTTACTCTTTAGTAAATAAAGTAATAAGTAATAAAAAACTTCAGTTTCTAGAAAAGAATATAAAACGGAAATTAAAACCTTGCATTAAATTACAAACCGATAGCCCTGTACGAACAGGGCTACATAGAACAAACAACACAAAACAGAATGGTCAATTTCTTCACACGTAATTACATCCACATTACATCCTTTCAGTCACACAGCGTGGACATGAAAAAAGGGCTCTACACATTATCAGCAGCCTCCAAACTCTACATGGCTCATACATGCTGGATGAAGAGGAAAAAGTATCAGCATTGTTTATGGTAATGACAAAGGCATCTCACTGACAGGATAAGTTACAAGATTTAGAATAGATATACTGTCAGGATTTAGAGCTGTTATATGAGTGTGCTGAAACAATTATCATGGAAATCACTCACAGTGTTCTCTCCACCTAGCCTCTCATCCAGCTTCATCTGAGAGAAGCAGATTTCACTTGGCTCAGAGCGTAACGTGATCACTCGTAGGGTATCTCCTTCTGGGTTGCTGATAGAGACAGTTCTGTCATCAGAACCCAGTGCAAGTAAGTTTTCTGCACTCCAACAGCCACAACAGATCCTCTTACTATGTTTTCCAAGTATTGGAATACGTCTACAAAATTCACATAAAATTAAACCATGTTAATTATATAATCAATAATATTCCTCTACCTATCCACATTAATATTGATCTTACAAGCTCTCATTAATTCATAAAATTAAAATAATTTTTTCTAATTATTTTAATAAAAATACATTACTTAGCAGTGTTATGGTTGTAAATAGCCAAGTTCCCCCTGCTTGTTCCAACTGCAAGCACCGGTCCTGACTTGGCCCAGATGATGCAGCTGAGGGGGTCTCGAAGGCCTGTGTCAATCTGCTGTTTCTTTCCTGTGTTAGCATCCCAGAGCATCACATGAGGAGCACTAGCTGTTACTGCAGCCAGCAGATCACCATCCACATCCCAGTCAAAGCCAGAACAGGGTCTATAATATATTTACATTATATAATTCATTACACACAACAGTAAATGGTAATACCTGAATCAAAACCTTATAAACAAAGTCTAATTCATTGTTTAAACAGAAATAAACAAAGAAATTTATAATTATAATAATAATATTATTATTATTATTAATAAAATTAATAATAATAATAATAATAATAATAATAATAATAATAATAATAATAATAATAATATAATAATAATATTTATTGAGTCACATATACAATTACAATTGTGTATGACGAGTCAATATGATGCCTTGGATGGAGAGAGCGAAGTTATATTACTGTTCAGGAGCAAACAAGGGCCATCTTAGCATTTGCTCAAAGGATCAGGGAAACAGAAAACAAAACCTGATCGAGATGGGGTCATTGGCCTAGAAATACAATACTTGTTACCATTAGATTAAGATATTATACAGTAGATAAATTATCTGCTATAATTAACATTTCAATTGATATTTTAATGCTACTACTTATAATAATTATATTTAATATAATTACATTAATAATACATATCAATTATGTTTGCACTACATCAAATTTAACAATAGTAGTACATTCTATATTTATAACTTGAAATTGTGAGGAGGCAAGTTTTGACCAGTTTTTTTCTTCTTCTATTTCACAGGATGTGATATGCAGTTCTTTTTTCTTTGCTTCAGCTTGAAACAGTTCACATGAAACAGAAAGTCTAATGGAATCAGAAATTCTTATTTATTATATTTTTTAAGGGAAATGTTGTAATCTGAAAATTCCTTTACACTGTAGAACATGTTGTTAAGCAGGAAAGCTTTCAATTTAGATTTTAAATGTATGAATTGTGTTTATGTCTTTGATATCATTGCCTAGTTTGTTGTAAAGTGTAATGCCTCTATTAGGGTACTTTTTTGATAAAGTGTAGTTTCAGAGTGGGGAACGTGTAGGTTATCCTTTTGACGGGTGTTGTAGTTATGTACATCAGAATTTAAAGTAAAACTGTCTTTGTTTTCATGAGATTTTCTTTGTGAAGACCACTATTTCAAATATGTACATGCATGGTAGAGGAAGAATCCTTAGTAATTAACAAGGGTTTGCAAGACTACAGCTTATGAGTGCTGTCATTGTTCGCAGTATTCTTTTTTGGATAATAAATGTGCGAGTGCTTTCAGGGGCATTTCCGAATATTATTCCATATTTTAGGTGTGAGTGCACATTTGCAAAATACATTTTCAAAGTGTCAATGTTGGAGCTTGACCTGAGGGTGTATAGGGCATAGCAAGATTTGCTGAGCTTCTTGTTAAGATTTGAGATGTGTGTTCCATTTTAGGTTTTCTTGAATTGTTAGTCCGAGGAAGGTAGTTTCATGAGATATCGTTACAGGGTTATTGTTTATGAGAAAATGCTGTGAGAGTTTTTCTTTAGATCGAGGATTCATGAATTTAGAGAGACTGTCTTACTGGTGTTTATGATGAGTTTGTTGTCTTGAACCATTTTACTAGTGCTTGCAAAGTTTTGTTTTCTTTTCTAATGATTGTTGTGCTTTTGCTTTGATGATGATGTTTGTGTCATCTGGCAAACAAAATTATTTTTGTTGTTCTTAAAGCCCAAGGCATGTCATTTATGTATTAAAGAATAGTATTGGCCCAAGGATGAATCCTTGCAGGACTCCACAATTTATTATTTGAGGACAGGAGTAGTATGAGGAGATTTTGTTTTGTTTAGTGTGTTGGAGGGCAACTATTTGTCTACGGTTTGATAATATGATTTGATCCATTGGCCTGCAATGCTCGAATCCTAGCATTTCTAGTTTTTTTAAAAGTATATGATGGTCAATGATGTCAAAGGCTTTTGACAAATCTAAGATAAGGCCAATGAGAATTCCTTCTGATTTAG